CTCCAAGATCTTCATTAAATGCGCAGATTTCAGAAACTGCTTTAGAGCATAATGCACAGCTACCGATTCCAAGGAAGCGTACATCCGCGGATGCGCTGCAGCAGATATCAGCAGATGCGCTGGATCAAACACCTGTGGATGCGCTTCATCAGATACCCGCGAATGCACAGAGTCGATATGGAAATTCCGGAAATGAGGTAAACCAAGGGATAGATAGCTCATTTCCCCGACAGATAGTCAACGTTGCTGATAAAGAGAAGAAGGACCAAAGTGAGAAAGCTACAGCCAAGTGTAACATTAAACCAGCAACCTTTGATGGAACTCATTCTTGGCTAGATTATAAATCCCATTTTGATGCGTGTGCGGCTATCAACAATTGGAATTATAAGGAAAAGGGGTTGTATTTAGCAGTGTCACTGCGAGGAGCTGCACAAGGGATATTAGGAAATGTTTTGCCAGAAACGGGACAACAATATGACCTCTTAGTGAAAGCACTTGAAGAGAGATTTGCTCCACCTAATCAAACGGAGTTGTACCGTGCGCAACTCAAAGAAAGGCGTCAACGGGCATCAGAAACACTATCTGAGCTAGGCCAAGCTGTGCGCCGATTAACGTATTTGGCATATCCATCTGCACCGGCAGAAGTAAGAGAAACTCTTGGTAAAGAGGCTTTTATTGATGGATTGATAGATTCTGATATGAGACTACGCATTAAACAGAGTCGACCCCAGAATCTAAACGAAGCTATTCGCCTGGCAGTAGAACTTGACGCCTACTATAAGACAGAGAAAAGAAGTCATATGCGCGCTATTGAAAGTCAGGGACAAGCCCGAGCTCAAGCTTCCGACTCTGGAGATTTAAAAGCGCTGATGCAGAAAATGAAGAATAAAATAGATAATCTGGAGAGGCAGATTAAGGCAAATGCAAGATTCAGCAGAGATTCTTTTCAGAAGGAAGGCAAGCGGAACAGGGTAAAATGTTACTATTGCTCAGAGGAAGGACACATTCGAAAGAATTGCCCAAAGTTGAAGAACAAAGTTCAAGACAAAGAAAAGGATATGCGGCGACATGAATCAAAGTCAGATGGCGGAAGCGCATGTCAAGTGCGCAGTAGACGTAAAAGAAAGAGAAAATCTAAAAGCAATGGCAATGTTGGTGCAAACAATTTGTGCGAGGAAGCAGGTATCTTCATCCAGGGAAATGTGAATGGGAGCAGTGCAAAACTCTTGATTGACACTGGAGCATCCCTTACTCTTATTTCAAAGAGATTGTTTGATACATTGCAGGAGGAAAAGCCTGTGCTCAAGGAGAACGCACAGCGAATATTCAATGCTAGTGGTTCTGTTCTGTCCCATTATGGTAAAGCAACATTTTCTCTCAAGATTGGTGAGACAGATAGAACTATTGATGCAGTTGTTGCAGATATTTCTGTGGACGGAATTATTGGACTTGATTTTCTCAAGAAATACAATGGACTGATAGATCTTCAAGAGAGTTCGCTGCGATTAAATTATGAGACATGCCCATTTTCCTGGGAAGGCACACTAGGTTGTTACAGGGTCACTGCAGCCAGTAATATTTGCATACCACCGAGGAGTGAAATAATTATTTCAGCCAATGTTACGGGAAATAATAACTATGGAGGAGCTGATTACTTAGTGGAACCAGAACGAAAATTTATTGAGAAAGGGTGTGCGCTAGTAGGACGCACTCTCGTTAAAGGTAGCGATAAGATACCAGTTTGCTTAATGAATGTCACTAATGATATGCAACAGATTTTTCAAGGAACTCTGATCGGGAAAATGACAGCTGTTGAGGAGAGACCAAAATCGCCATTTTATCCTCAGGGTTTAACCAAAGAGCTGAGAGGTGATCTGAAAGATTTGTTAGACAGATGTAAAGGTAATCAATTACCAGAGCAAGTGACAAAAGTTGATAACTTCCTACGTAAAAATCAGTTTTTGTTCGCAACTTCTAATTATGACTTAGGACAGACCAATGTGGTGCGCCACAAGATAAACACGGAGCAGGCTAAACAACCTATCAAGCAAGGTCTTAGGCGAATTCCGATTCATCTAACTCATGAGGTAGATGCACAGGTTAAGGAAATGCTCGAAAAGGATGTAATAGAACCTTCAAACAGTCCCTGGGCATCGCCAGTAGTTCTTGTACGCAAGAAAGACGGCACAATGCGCTTTTGTGTAGACTACCGTCGATTAAATGAGGTGACCACAAAGGACGCTTATCCTCTTCCAAAAATCGACGAGGCTTTTGACCATTTATCAGGACACGAGATGTTTTCTACGCTTGATCTGAACAGTGGTTACTGGCAGGTTAGTATGGAGGAGAGTGACAAGCCGAAGACTGCATTTGTGACACGACAAGGTTTATTCCAATTCAAGGTTATGCCCTTTGGTTTATGCTGTGCGCCTGCGACGTTTGAGAGACTTATGGAAACCGTTCTTGCAGGACTCCAATGGGATAAGTGTTTAGTATACCTTGATGACATTATTGTTGTAGGCAAATCATTTGATGATATGCTTGAAAACCTGCAACATGTTTTTCAGAGATTGCATCAGGCCGGCTTAAAGTTAAAGGCCAAGAAATGCAATTTATTTGCCAGCAAGGTATCCTATCTGGGACACATTATTTCAAAAGACGGAATTGCAACCGACCCAGAGAAAGTGAAAGCAGTAGCTGAGTGGCCAATGCCAAGTACTGTGACTGAGTTAAGATCTTTCCTAGGTCTTTGCAGTTATTACCGGCGCTTTATAAAGAATTTTGCATCAGTTGCCAAACCATTGCATCGACTCACAGAAAAGGGAAGGAAGTTTCTGTGGAGTAAAGAAGCCCAAGAAGCATTCGAAGTGCTGCGCAACAAACTGATAACTGCGCCAGTATTAGCTCTACCAGATGTAACGAAGCCATTCATTCTGGATACCGACGCTAGCAACGAAGCGATCGGTGCGGTATTATCTCAAAATATTGATGGTAAAGAACGTGTTATAGCGTATGCTAGCCGTACATTGTCCAAGTCAGAGAGAAAATATTGTGTGACACGCAAAGAACTTTTGGCCGTTGTCCATTTTATTAAGCATTACCGCCACTACCTCTATGGTAAACAGTTTCTTATTAGAACGGACCATGGGTCATTGCGATGGCTTTTAAGATTCAAAAACCCAGAGGGTCAGTTGGCTAGGTGGCTGGAAGTGATCAGTACCTATGATATGAAAATAGAACACAGACCCGGTAAAAAGCACGGTAATGCGGACGCGCTGAGCAGAATACCTTGCGCTCAGTGTGGGTTTGATGCTCCATCATTGGAAAATGCTGAGTATGATATGAAAGTTGAACCAGCTGTACGAACTCTACAGTCATCGGATATACAAAGTGACGACATGGATTATAGTCTGCAAGAGGCTCAGGAGCAATGTAGAGACATTAAGCTTGTAAAAACATGGGTCGAGAAAGGTGAGCGACCAAGTTTTAGCGATATGTCTATGCATGGCTACGTAGTGAAGTCTTTGTGGAATCAGTTTTCTAGACTTGCTATAGAGAATGGATTGCTCATGCGCAAGTGGACTCTGCTTCGTCCCAACAAAGAAGTTTATCAAGCTATCATACCAGACCAAGAGCGCAGACGCGTCTTGGAGATGTGTCATGATAACCAGACGTCAGGACACTTGGGGGTTAACAAAACGATAGCTAAGATACGGCAGAGATATTACTGGCCTGGATTTCAAAAAGATGTCTACCAGTATGTTACAGGTTGTGACAAGTGTACGAGACGTAAAAATCCAAACCCTAAACAAAGAGCCCCAATGCAGATTACCGGATCAGGTATGCCAATGGAAAGAATTGCCACAGATATACTGTGTGAGCTACCTGAGACTGATAGAGGAAATCGCCACATTTTGGTTGTGTCAGACTATTTCACCAAGTGGACAGAGGCATTCGCTCTGCCAAATATGGAAGCTGAGACGATTGGACGCACTATGGTGGAACAGGTATTTGTCAGATTTGGTATCCCCTTTACCATTCATTCGGACCAAGGTCGACAATATGAGAGCAAGCTCTTTCAAGAGATGTGTCGGTTACTTGGGATTAAAAAGACCCGTACAACACCCTATCACCCGAAGTCAGACGGGATGGTGGAGCGCTTTAACCGCACATTGCTCTCTATGTTAAGCACTTACGTTCAGGAAAATCAACTTGACTGGGATTTGCATCTTCCGTATATACTTATGGCATATCGTTCTACAGAACATGACACCACTAATTTCTCGCCAAACATGCTAATGTTGGGACGAGAAGCGACCACCCCATTAGAGTTGATGTATGAAATGCCTCCAGATATTAAGGATATTCCAACAAGTCAATGGGTTTGGGTGTTGCGTGAACGATTAGAGTCAGCTCATAAGTTGGTCAGAGAAAACATGCAAGGTGAAATGCAGCGCCAGAAAAGGTACCATGATACCAAATTAGCATGGTCATCCTTTAGTCCCGGAGAAAGAGTTTATGTATTCTTCCCTACAAGAAAGAGCGGTTGTTCTCCGAAGTTAACATCGTTTTGGAGAGGGCCTTTCTTAATTGAAGACAAATTGTCAGATATTTTATATAAGGTTGCATGTGGAGCAAAAGGCAAAAGCACTATTATTCACTGTGATCGCTTACGGAAGTGTAAATCACAGATACTTCAAAGAGAGGAGGATATCAGTAATTCCAATAGTCAAAACAATGCGGAAGATGATACTCAAGAGTGTCTTGTAGAAGAAAATGAAGATCAGTATGATATTGCTGAAAACCCTAGCGGTTGTGCTTCAGATAGGCCAAGGCGCATTAGAAATGCACCTGCGTGGCATGACGACTTCATTGTTGAATACAAATTATAAGCTGTCAGTACAACTAAGGATTAGTGTAGCGCAATTTCATTATATGTTTAGTTTTTTTTTTTAGAATATTTTATACTCAGGATTTTGTTTTTGTGATTTTTGCAGATCATGGCAAACACCAAGACCACTAAAAGAAAAGAGGGTCACCTTTGTCCTATGTGTTCTCAGAGATTTGGTGAAGAATCAGAGTGGGAGAAACATGTACTTGAGTGTGGGAGAAAGCGCAGACAGAAACGGTTTGAATGCAGTCATTGCGACTATGCTACAAATAAGAAGAGCGACATGGTCAGACATTGTAAAACTCGACATGGTGGATTCGCTCAGGTGGACAGTGAGAGTGATTGGGAGCAGTTGGATCCCGGGAATCTATCGGATGTTGTTGGTGAAGCCACAGTGGCTGGGACTTCCCTTCCTTCTTCCGAAGTGACGCAGAGGAAACCAACGAGACCGGCTCCTGTACACACTCCAAAAGTCAAGAGATTATTGAGCAAGCGTTCGTTAGTTCCTGATGCTCCTGCTACATTCCAGCATCCCATGACGACTGTGAAAGAACATGCAGCTCCTTCGGCAACAGTATCAGCGGCATCGTCGACTGATGTCCAGGATTGTAGTGTCGAGGATTCCATCCGTTCAGTTGGTGTCGACAAAGGTACACAGACTCTTCCCACAGAGCAGATGACAGAGGCTACTCAGACTGAAGTGACCAAGAGAAGACGTCTGGATCGGTGTCAGGAAACATATCAAAAGGATGGAAAATCTGTAGTAGAGACCCATGAGGAAGAACTCTGGTTTTAGTGGTTAAAACTGTAGATATGGCAAATAACATTGTAAATTTAAGCAGAGAGCTTAGTATGTTCAAATCTTTATGGAATATGTACATAGTCAGGAAGACTATTGCATGGTGTAAATAATAATGAACATATGTAAAATTGTACGCCTTTAGTTTTTCTTTATTGAGGAATGCGAGACGCATTTCCTGGAGGCGTGGGTAGTGAAGCCAAAACTGTAATCGAGATCATATTATCCTTTCGTTTCTCGGTAGTTGCACTGACTTCCGGTTTCTTGGTTCCTTTAGGTTCTCCGCAGGTCATGTGACCTGTTGTAGGTATAAATAAGGAGACAATTGGTTGTTTTAGTTAGTCTGTTGCTGACAGCCGAATTGGAAAGACGGTTGTATACAGAGAAGTCAAACGTGGTAGGTACTGCAAGGAATACCTTGAATCAAGTCTTATGTGTCTGAAATAGACTTTCGAGACTTTGATTGATTATATATTATTTAGATAAAGTACCTGATATTCTTGTTTGACTGAAGGTAAGAAGCGGACGCGCTTCAGTCCTTGGAAGGCGCTTGCGCTCCCGAGAAACGAAGGAATAATTGTACATACTATTAATCTAAATCTGTGATTGAGAAAATTAATTTATTATTTAATTGTTCAGACAGAACAGCCGAATCCCATAAAAGAACCCGAAAACGTTACAGTATGTATTCTTGTATTCTTTTTTCAAGGTTTCATATAAGTTATTCAGAATGACTTTTAAGAAATAAGAAGGATCTTTATTTCGCCGTTTTTTTTTCATGTAATAACTTAAAAAATCATTAAAAATTATTAAGTTTTATTACTGCCTTACGCCTTCGTAATACTGTTAATGTCTTATATATTCTTTTTCAGATGTCTGCTACTTTATTATTTTAATGAAACCTTGAAATGAATCAGATTCCTAGACTATCAGAGGCGGTTTATGAAGGGATGTGTCATGAAATAGGGAGTCCTACAGAAGTGAGGATAAGAAGAGAAGTGATGGACACTCAGGAGTTTGTGATGAAACCTATTTTTATCCTGATGGAGTGTGATAGAATGAAAAGTGGTAGTAGGCGTGAGGGGTTCAGACTGAAAACTTCAGATGTAGATTTAATGTTCTGGCCTCCAGACCACAAAGTAATCTGTGATCTCTCTCAGATCAGTCTCTACCGTATCCCACAACACACCGTGATTCTGATGGAGTGTGAAGATCTACCACCGGGATTTACCAGACTTAAATTGATTACTCTAACAAGGCATTTCAAAGTTAGATCCTCCTGTGTATTTATGAATGGTGAAGTTTACATTTCTAGTATATTATACCGAAAAAGCATTTTCCAAGATATGTCTGTGTATTCCTTCGACACCTCTTCTGCCCAAATTGGACCTTGTTCTACATGGTATTTTTTACTTGGTGAAGGAGCAGATTTAGTTTTTTGTTTTTGGTCAGATCACTGGCCAACAATAGCACTCCCATGGATACAAAGATGTCGACAACAAGGGTGGCCATCCGAATTTGTTCTTTCAGAGGTATACAGCAGAGGGGTCCACGTTGTTCCAATCGGTAGCACACATGAAAATGGAGAAGAATGGAGAATCTCATTCTCGAAAGCGGAACAAATACTTGTGTATTCAATGAATCACTCTCAGTTTTTGTGTTATGGCCTCTTAAAATTTTTTCTAAAAGACGTAATTAATTTTAAAAATGATTCACCAATTTTATGTTCATATTACATAAAAACAATTGTATTTTGGGTAATTCAAAATGGTACTAGTATTTGCTTGAACTGGTCACCTCACAACTTGTTGTCTTGTTTCTGGGAATGTTTTAAACTATTAATATACTATGTGCGTATTGGAGAATGTCCAAACTTTTTCATTCCTCATAATAATATGTTTAGAACGAAAGTAATCGGTTCTGAACAATTATTACTGTTCAGACAGTTGTATGGTTTATATTGTAAGGGAATATCATGCCTTCTATTGAGTCAAACCTTGAGACCTTACCTCAGTCTTCCGATCTTATACAGATCAATAAGTTTCTCTACTGACGAGATCAGCATCATTTCTAGCACTGAGTTAGATATCAGCTTCTATAGAGAACTATATGCAGAGTCAGATAATTATACTGGTTATGGTATTGAGGAAATCCTTTATTTCATGGAACGTCTAAAGGGAATTATTATTGGAAGTTTGACATCATATCAGTTAGTTACATTACAGTATATGACATCATGCATGTTACGAAATATTGCATTTTTGATTCAGAGTAGGATTTCTCCGAAAAAATATCAGAATAAGATTTATTACAAAGTTAATAAGATATCTATGCTGCTGAAAGTGTCTTGCACGTTTGGTTGTGTGTCAGACATTCTGTATCTAGCTTTGTACTTGTACAGAGATAAAAGGTATGAATTCTCACTCAGTTGTTTACAGAAAGCAAAGGACAGACTGTCATCACCTTATCTTTCATATGGTCGTCAAGTAAATGTAAATACGTACAGAGAGTGTATGGCTGGGATGCATCTAAGTAAAAAAATAAGAAAAGCTTTTGTAAAAGATATTGTGCTTGAAAACGACTACATTTACATTGATGAACTAGTGATGGAGCAGCGGATCATTATGAAGAAAGGAAGGTCCCTCTTAGTTATCCCACCTCTAGTGATGTTACATATGCTTTTTATACTGAATCGCCACAGACTGGGTGACACAGTCAGTTCACAACACTCTCTACAGGATCTACAGACTCTGCTGCTCTATGATGATGGGATTTATGTACGTGATCACCACAGAGATATTTCGTGGCAAATTCTTGGAATCTGTCAACAAATCTGTGGGGAATATGTTGCATCTCTGCAGTCCTTTCAATATTCATTACAACAAGAAAGTTTCCAATTTTTTCAGGAAGCGACAATTCTAAGAATGAACTTACTTCTTTATGGAATGATGTAATTTTATTTTATCGGAACAATAGATTACAAATCATATCTAGCACTTTAAGTTTACTTATTTTCTTGATTGACATTGTAATTTTAAATCATCTTCTTTTATTATTAGTTCTTTCCACATTTCTGTGGAAAGATCTCTTTAAATACTTTAAATGCTTATGTTTGATATTTTATTTCTCACCTTGACTTTTGAAACTGCAAGACTTATCGAAAAAATTTGTAGCTTATCATAATTGATATTGAAAGTTCTTTCAACCCCCCCCCCCCTTGTTTGAACTTTGACCGCTTACGCAGTTATTGCCCCTTTCACCGTAAAGCTTGTTATCGCTACTCGTCCGAAACCGTAAATCAGAGGCCAGAAACCTTTACCAATGCCTCCGACTAATTAAGAAGACTCTTCGTTCTATCATTGGAAAAGGATCAGTAAAATCCTTCAAAAAGTAATTGCGCCTGAAAGTTTTAAAATTTACAAAAAATTGAAAATTTTCAAAACGTGAAGTTGTAGAGACACGGGTCCAACGGCGTAAGATTCAATGACTTTAATAGTAATGCAAAGGCCATAGTTCAAGGATATTCCAAAATTGAAAAATTCTGCTCTTTTTATATCTGTCTTGTCTTTTAACATAATTTTTATACTATCTGACTTTGCATCCTTAATACTGTAGTATATACTTTTAAAACTATTTCAAAGATTCTTTCTTGTCCCCTTTAAGATTGAGCCTTATAAAAGTTATTGCCTATTGTGTGAAAAACCTTGTTATCACTCCTTCTCCGAAACCGTATATGGTAGAGACAATAAACCTTTACAAATGCCTTCAGGGTCTTTAGACTGCTTATAAATCTTGAGAATGTTGACATGAATCAGGTTGATATTGGTTTTATTAATCAGGTTGTCACTAATTGTAATTCTATAATCAAGAATGCAGCTGAAAAAGCAGATATGTTTATTGTGTCTAATAACAATGAGCTGAGGTCTGTAAGATCTAAACTATGTAAACCTTATTTTAACAAAGAATGTTATTTGAAACGTAAAGAGTATCACAAATGTAGAAATCTCCATTGGAGACTGAAAAGAGTTGAGACTGAACAGAGCTTATTACAAAGTAGTAGAGAGTATAAAAAGACTTTAAATAAACAGTTTAGAGAGTACCAGAAAAATTTTGTTAATAAACTGAGAAATTTGCGTAGTACTGATGCAAAAGCATATTGGTCATTATTGAATAAATGTGACAGAAAGGGTAGTAAAAATGTTGAGAAAATTGCTCTTGATGTTTTCTATGATCATTTTAAGAATATGAATGCTTTAGATGATGATTCAGATGATGATGTTAATCAGCTTCCAAATGTAACTAATTTTAATATTGAGTTGAACCAAGCTGTTACTGAAACAGAAGTATTGAATGCTATAAAGTCGCTGAAAAACAACAAAGCATGTGGTGGTGATCTTATTTTGAATGAATTTTTGAAAAATACATCTGCAAAATTAATGCCTGTATATGTAAAAATTTTTAACATGGTTTTCATGACTGGTATTGTGCCTGACAGTTGGTCAGAAGGTTATATTTGTCCAATATACAAAAACAAAGGAGATCCTAATGATGTAGATAATTATCGTGGTATTACCATTCTAAGCTGTTATGGAAAATTGTTTACTTGTATCTTGAATAATAGGTTGCATAAATATTTAGAAAACTCAGGTATGCTCTTTTACAACGCACTTTGAAAAATTACGCACTTTGAAAAAATTTTTCAAAGTGCGTTAATTTTTGGGACCAGGTTAACGCACTTTGAAAAATTTTTTCAAAGTGCGTTGAATTTGGGACCAAATCAACGCACTTTGAAAATTTTTTTCAAAGTGCGTTAAGACTGTACATCATAATTTTACAATGTAAACATTTAACGCACTTTGAAAAAATTTTCATGAAACAAAAGAAATTAGACATATTTTAGAAATAGACAACAGTATTATCCCCTCGCAACGTATGATGGGATATAGTGATGAACTTTCAAGAATCGCCATATTTTGAAATAATCATAAATATGATAA